TGCATGCTTATTAAGAGTTCTACGGTTCCCCATCTGCTGTAGACTGCTTAATGAAAATTGCAATTTCAATTTAAAGGAAGAAAATTCGTAGCTGTTAACACCGCCCCAGTTCTGTCTTACGGACGCTTGACACATCTACTGATATGAGCCCTTAATTTATTAATCCACCTCCGCATTTATAATTCCCTTCCTACTGCCGGAAATTTAAATTCCCCATGCTGGCTTGCTAAGCCATGGAGACAAGTTCGGAGACACCTTTTGTATCCCTGCTAAATACTCCATTGTGCTAGCAAGGATGTTTTGACTGTAAGTGTATGCTGCAGCAGGCTTAATGCTTAGGGGAGGCTCCCCGAGGAGGGGTTATGAAGAAAGGCTAAATCCTTGCTTAGTCTCAATTAGCAGCTTTGATTAGAAGAGGGATACTATGGATTGAATGAATTCTTTAACAGCTTATTCATCATTTAATAGACGTTGTACAGCAAGCAAAGGTCACCATCATTTTTCAATCATATCTAAAAGAGTAAAAGAAGGAGATAAAAGTCTTAAAAACCAGAAGAATGCAAGTTTTCTTCATTAAGAAAGTAATGCTATATGTTGTGTATGCTATGAATGATATACAAGGCTTCATGTAAACCTATTTTAACTTATTTTTATGCATATGATATCTGGAAAAAAAGCTATTATGCATTTTTCTGTATGTTAAAAGAAGGAAAGCAAAATTCATTTGTGGTTGACTGCCCACATATTTAGGTGTTCCTTAAGGGGGCCAAAGACCATATGTTGTTGTAATTCAGAGCAAACACTTAATAATCATGTCCTCTTACCTGTCCCTTTGTCATCTAAGTCTTTTACACCAGACAGAATTCCTTCAACTAATTTGTAATGAGCAGCTGGTCAGGAAGACGATGGCATACATTTATATTAGCGCATAGTGGAGCTAAAAGGTACATAGCTATTGGGAAATAGGAATACTGGACGATGATACAGTTTTACCACCATCACACCCATTGTCTCACGTACGGACGTTTTCCAGCAGAGGAGTGTTGGGTGATTTGGCTTTAACAGAGAGTGGTTTCATTGTGACTTTTCTCATTAGCAGTATTTCTTTCAAGAGAAGAAACCGCTGCAGTGTTGGTTGCGTTAAGACCCTGAGTATGTAAGGTATGTTTAATGCAGAGATATGTAAATATTTCTAATGAAGCTACCTAGCAGGATGAGACTAGTCTGGTGGACGTGCTGACCTTCTGCGTATAACTGATGTACATGCGACAGATTATGCAATCTCCATTTTGCTAGGGATAGTTTCGAAGTGAGCATCTTCAGCGTAAACAAAGTGTGTGTGTTTTTTTTTTATATCAGTAGCAGAGCCTTAGTTTGCCATATAGCGAGAGCATGCCTTATTGTGGTCAACATTTCAGGCAATTGCGGTATTAGTTATTTTTGGACCTATAAGGGTTGTGTAGTATTGTACAGGCGAATGGAGGAGTTTTCCAATTACCTGTTTTGTGCTGCATACTAGTGCTAGTGTTTTGGCTATAGAGGCTGCAGTGTAAAACCTTTTAGTGTCAGGTGCCTAGATGTGGAAGTAGCCATAGTGCTGAGTGAGAGATTCTGGGTGTTTCTTATTTCTATATTTTGCATTGATTATAGTTTGGTCAGAACAGTATTTGGGACTGTTATTGGCAGTGTGCGGTGACCGTGGAGAACTTGAGGTAATATAGACATCTTGATTGAGTGGATTCTTCCTATCCATGAGAGTTCAAGATTAGACCACCTATCTAGGGTCTGTTCTATTTTATGAATCAGCTTAAGATAATTGTGTTTTATAGTTGTATGTTTTAGCTAAGATGTGGATTCCTAATTAAGAGATAATGGTGGACCTCCAGTCAAAGTCATATATGTCTGTGTGGTGTGGGATACCTAAAAAGAGAGTCTGAGTTTTACTAGCATTGTTTTTGTGATAAGATCCTCTGCTGAATTGTGCCAAAATATGGTGGAGGTTAGAGAGGGATACCATGGGGTTAGAGATGGTTAGTAGGATGTTATTCTCCTTGATCTTTCTGCTGCCTTTGACACTGTTGATCATCAACAGCTTCTGCTCATTCTCCGTAATCTCGGTCTACGGGATACTCCTCTCTCCAGGTGCTCCTCCTACCTCTCCCAATGCTTTTTCAGTGTTTCTTTCTTTGGCTCTGCCTCTTCTCCCCAACCCCTCTCTGTTGGCGTTCCCAAAGGTTCTGTCCTTCGTACCCTACTGTTCTCTATCTATACTGCCTTCCTTGGTAAACTCATCAGCTCCTTTAGCTTCCACTATCATTTATATGCAGATGATACACAAATCTACCTGCCTTCTCCTGATCTCTCTCCGCCCATCTTGACTCGTGTCTCTGACTGCCTCTCTGAGATTTCCAACTGGATGGCTGCACACTTCCTTAAACTCAACCTGTCCAAACCAGAACTTCTGGTCTTTCCTCCCTCCAAGTGTTGCTAATCCCGTGACTGTCTCCCTCCAAGTCAACGGCGCCACCATCACCTCTACCTCGCAGGCTCGCTGCTGAGGTGTTCTCTTTGACTCCAACCTCTCATTCACCCCTCATGTCCAGTTGATTGCCAAATCCTGCCGCTTCCATTTCAAAAACATAGCTCGCATCCAACACTGGATGCAGCTACAGTGATGGTCCATGCTGTTGTTCTTTCTTGCCTTGATTACTGCAATCCCCTTCTCAGTGGGCTTACGTGTTCCCAGATTGCACCACTGCAATCTATAATGAATGCGGCGACAAGGCTCATTTTCCTGTCTGCCCGCACCTCCCACTCCTCCCCCTTCTGTCAGTCCCTACATTGGCTTCCACTTAGATATAGGGCTAAATTTAAGATTTTGGTGCTTGCTTACAAATCCCTACATAATGCTGCTCCAACCTACCTATCCTCCCTGATACACAAATATGTCCCCACGAGGCCCCTGCGCTCTGCCGAAGACCCATGCCTATCCTCTGTCCGTACTCCCACATCTGGTGCTCACCTCCAAGAATTCTCCAGGGCTGCACCTTTTCTGTGGAACTCCTTTCCCTTCTCCGTTAGACTTTCACCCAGTCTCCACTCATTCAAAAAATCTTTCAAAACACACTTCTTCAGGAAAGCATATCATCTAAAGTGTTAGCAGGTTTTCAAACCACCCTCCCCCCATGACTTCTCTCCTGCAACTGTCAAAAATAACCTACTAAGTTCTCAGTGATTACTTTTCTAGCAACCTATTTCATTACCCCTACTTCTCAGTAATTACTTTAATAGCAACCTATTTCATTCCCCCTACTTATACCCTTTGTGTCACTATACCCCACTCCCTCTAGCATGTAAATTCATTGAGCAGGGCCCTCAGCCCCTCTGTTCCTGTGCATCCATTTGTCTGGTTACAATTACGTGTCTGTTAGTCCAGAAGGATATTGATACTTTAGATCCAGATAATAATACAAAATCCAGATAGATCCAGATAATATCCAGAAGGATATTGATACTTTAGAGAGAGTTCAGAGAAGGGCTACTAAACTGATTCATGGATTGCAGGATAAAACTTACAAGGAAAGGTTAAAGGAACTTAACATGTATAGCTTGGAGGAAAGACGAGACAGGGGGGATATGATAGAAACATTTAAATATATAAAGGGAATCAACACAGTAAAGGAGGAAACTATATTTAAAAGAAGAAAAACTACCACAACAAGAGGACATGGTCTTAAATTAGAGGGGCAAAGGTTTAAAAATAAAATCAGGAAGTATTACTTTACTGAGAGGGTAGTGGATGCATGGGATAGCCTTCCAGCTAAAGTGGTAGAGGTTTACACAGTAAAAGCGTTTAAGCATGGGTGGATTGGCATAAAGCTATTCTAACTATAAGATAAGGGCAGGGACTAATGAAACTATTTAGAAAATTGGGCAGACTAGATGGGCCAAATGGTTCTTATCTGCCGTCACATTCTATGTTTCTATGTAATTTGCTGGCGCTATATAAATAATAAAAATAATCTGCAGAAAGAGCTAGTTAATGTTTTCTTAAAGGAGTGGAGGCCCCTTGTAAACCAAAATATCTAGGACCAGTATGAAGAGGGGACAAGGGGCATCTCTGCCTAGTTCCATCATCTATGGAAAAGGGGCGTCAGAGAAAATCCCTGCATTCATCACTTTGGCCCAAGAGGATGTGTAGAGAGCGTTAATAGGTGGGAAAACCAAATTTTTTGATAGCTTCCAACATGAATAGCCAGCTCTATCAAATGCCTTCTCTATGTCCAGTGCTAAGAGAAGGCTAGTTTTTTTGTTCCTGGAGAGTATCTCCGTTACATATTCAATATACGGCGGTTGTTATCTGCAGGCCTGTTGTGAGGGGCAAACCCTGCTTCTTTCCAGAATACAATATCGGTGAGTATTCTATAAAGTCTGTTAGCCAGGACTTTTGTGTATAATTTTGTATCAGAGTTAAGAAAAGAAATGGGTCTAAAGTTAAGGTGCACGCATGGGGGTTTGCCTAATGTTGACAGGGTTATAATTGTTCAGCTAGGATGCATCCAGTTGTCTTAATCTGGTTAAATAGTTTAGTTAAGGGAGCGGAGCCTGACTGCCGTGCTGGTCAGTCGCACATCCTGAGAACTCCGGGGAATAAAAATAAAAAACTTGCCTTAATCAACGACTAGCGGTCCACAGTTCCAGACTTCAAGCAGTCAACGCTAGTCAGTAACCGGGTGGACCCCTTGGTGGCTGTTCTAGCTGTTCCTCTGGCCAAGCTCAGCGGATCTCTTTGGGGACTGACCTATGGCCTAGCAGGGGCCTACTCATGGACGAGGGAAGAGAAGTGGCCGCTCCCTCTACCTTCTGGCAACAAGGTCTCCCCACTCTCTCCACCCCCACCCCCACCCACGGTGAGGGATATCCCGGTAATCATTACCAGTGCTGCGGTGACAGCCTTCCACCAGTACCCTCTAGGCTGCAGCCCACCTGCCTCCTACATAATGGCGGACACTACGTGTGAACTCACACCACGAGACCCGAAGCCCTCAATCCTGGAAAAAATAGATTGTTTGCAGACTTTTGATCTAGGCTCGCCTGTCGCATTGGAAGCGCCCGTGGAGATTCAGAAGGCACCTACCCTTCCTCAGTCAACTCTGCAAAGTGCATCTATACCTCATGATGGCGGTACCCGCAAGATGGTTTCTAACTCGACTACATCAAATCGACGGAAGCCGCACTACCAGCTGAGGAAGCGACTTGTGGGCCGACATCCTGCCCGCCGCTGCCGTGGAGTGCTGAGTCCCACTATACAAGCGTCTGTCTTAAGCTGCATGAAGAGACCACCATAGTCACCTCTAAGCCGTCCCTCATGCTATCTGTGGCCGGGCATCTCCTCACCAGGCAAGCGTGTAGCTCCCTGGCAAGTCATCTCCATTCTGGACAGTTCTGTATACCCTGTGGGCATAAGCTAAAAGGGGTTAATTTGATGGGCACGTAGTCCTGTCTCTACATTCTACACCTCATTGTCAATGCAGGCAGAAACCTAAGCTTCTGAAACTCCCCTGCTGCATCTGTGTCCACTTCATACTTTAGTTTAATTTACATGTACAAGCTTATACCATGCTAAATGATTCCTTCTTCATTGAATTCTAAGCAACTTACTTCTTCTTCCAGCACTACATAAGTTTTATTAGCTCTCTCAGCATGTTTAGCTTGTGATTAGCAATCTACCATCATTTACCCTATTCTATGTTTTACAAGCAAGAATATCTTGATATTATAATCTTAAAAAATGCAGTGAATCAGATGTGTTATACTCTACTAGCTAATATTTTCTGTGATACCTTTTGCAATGTCTCTGTTCGTCTGTGAAATTTGCAAAGCACTACAAAAATAAAGAATTATAAAAAAAATAATAGTTTAGTTAAATTTGGTACTAACAAAGAAGCCATAGAACAATAGTCATCTAGCCCCAGGGCTTTGTTTTTTGTGCAGTGCCATTACAGCTTTCAATACTTCCTCTGTCATGGATAGGTGTAATATGTTGGCCTGGGAGGAGTTGGGGCAGGTGTATATCTGAGAAAAAGTCACAGATAGTTTTGCTGTCTGGTTGTGTGATCTTGTCTAGATTATATAAGACTCTATAAAAGGTTGCTAATTCATTCACTATTTTTTTTGTGGATTTTGTGCCAAAATAGCCATTTTTAATTACCCATATATATACCCCCAGGGCCGGACTGGGAAAAAAATTAGGCCCGGGCATTTTTCAATCAGAGCGGCCCCCTAAGAAAGGGGCGGGGCCAGAGAGTGTGTGTTTTGTCATCACTAATGACAACACGCCCCCTCTCAAAGTGAGCATGTTGGTTCAATGCCCAGAGCCCTGCTGAAGAGCTCTGGCATTAGAAAAAGGCCCTGAATTTGTTCTGCGCAGCGCAAGCAAATGTAATAACATGCTTGTGCTGTGTTTGCTTTTAAATTGTCTCTGGAGTCTCCACAAGTGGGATACCAGAGGACAAATGGGCCAGGAAAGTGCATGGTGCATATGTTTGGAGCCTGCTTGTGGGATTGCGTGTGTGTAGAGTGTGGTGTGGTATTGTGTAAATAGGTCAATTTAATTTGTGTTTGTGGTGTAATATGTGTGGCTAGGGGCTGTAGAGAGTGTGTGTATAGGGGGCATAGTTTTATAGGGGATGCAGCAAGTGTGTGCATACGGGCTGAAGTGTGTGTAGGGGTTGCAGAGAGGGTGTGTTTAGAGAATGTTGTATGTGTTTGCTGACAAGGAATGTAGTGTGTGTGTATAGGAGATCTACTGTGTAAAGGACCGTGTGTGTGTGTGTGTGTGTATAGAGGATAAAGAGTGCATATAGAGTAAGGGATCTAGTGTGTATCTGGAGCGTAATGTGTGTAGTGGTGCAGTGTGAGGGGTGCTGTAGTGTGTGTGTGTGTGTGTGTGTATGTATATATATATATATATATTTGGACTTATTGTATGTGTGAGGGGCGCAGTGTGTGTATGTAAGAGGGGTGCTGTGTGTGAGGGTGTTTTTATCTGCTATCACATTCTAGGTTTCTAATTTTCTTTGTCTGTTAACTCACTGAGGGTTATTTTATATATATATATATATATATGTGTGTGCTGTATATGTGTGGGAGTGTGCTGTGTGTGTCTAGGGGGTGCTGTGTCTGGGGGGTGCAGTGTGTGTCTGGGTGCAGTGTGTGTCTGTGGGTGCTGTGTGTGTCTGTGGGTGCAGTGTGTGTCTGCGGCTGTGTGTGTCTGGGGGTGCTGTGTGTGTGTCGGGGGTGCTGTGTGTGTCTGGGGGTGCTGTGTGTGTCTGGGGTGCTGTGTGTGTCTGGGGTGCAGTGTGTGCCTGTGGGTGCTGTGTGTGTCTGTGGGTGCAGTGTGTGTCTGGGTGCGCTGTTTGTGTCTGGCAGTGTGTGTCTGGGGGTGCTGTGTGTCGGGGGTGCTGTGTGTGTCTGCGCTGTGTGTGTCTGGGGGTGCTGTGTGTGTCTGGGGTGCTGTGTGTGTGTCTGGGGGTGCTGTGTGTGTCTGGGGCTGTGTGTCTGCTGTGTGTGTCTGTGCTGTGTGTGTCTGGGTGCAGTGTGTGTCTGGGTCTGTGTGTGTCTGGGTGCAGTGTGTGTCTGGGGGTGCTGTGTCTGGGGGTGCGTCTGGGGGTGCTGTGTGTGTCTGGGGGTGCTGTGTGTGTCTGGGGGTGCTGTGTCTGGGGTGCTGTGTGTGTCTGGGGGCTGTGTCTGGGGCTGTCTGGGGGTGTCTGGGGTGCTGTGTCTGGGGCTGTGTCTGGGGGGTGCTGTGTCTGGGGGCTGTGTCTGCTGGCTGTGTCTGCTGGCTGTGTCTGGGGGGTGCTGTGTGTGTCTGGGGCTGTGTCTGGGGGGTGCTGTGTCTGGGGTGTGTCTGGGGGTGCTGTGTCTGGGGGTGCTGTGTCTGGGGGCTGTGTCTGCTGGCTGTGTGTGTCTGGGGGCTGTGTCTGGGGGGGTGCTGTGTCTGGGGGCTGTGTCGGGGTGCTGTGTGTGTGAGTGAATGTATTTTTTTATTTACATTTAAATATTTTTTTTACTAATAATAAAAAAAATTATTCTCCCCCCTCCCTTCTTACCTTTATCCTGGGAGGGGGGGAGCCGTTCTGCCATCCTTCCCTGGTGGTCCAGTGGTGAGAGTGAACTCTAACCTGCAGGTTAGAGTTCACTCTCGCGAGATCTGAGCGTTGCCGCGGCAACGCTCAGAATCCCGCGAGAGGACCCGGCGGAGCTGCTTGTTAGAGCTCCGCCAGGTCCTCTATCCTCCCTCCCTCACCCAGCCGGCGGCCGCATCTCCCTGTCTCTGGGCCTGTGAGGGAGATCTTTGATCTCCCCATCGGCCCAGGGAGGCACATAGCAGGGCCGGCGCTCGGATAGCGCTGGCCCTGCAGGGGCCGGCCGGGGAGATCCCCTGCCGGCCTCGGCCCCACGGCCATCGCGGCCCACCGGGCATTTGCCCGGTATGCCCGATGGCCAGTCCGGGCCTGTATACCCCTATGTGCCAGATCAATCTGTTTACACTTGAAGAAGCCTCTAATGGTGAAATGCATTGTGTAATAGTGTAACATTTATGTTTTATTTCTATTAAGCATTAAAGTATATTTGGTTTTGGGGGCGGAGTTTGCCTGCCATCGTGAGCGGAAGCCATCTCGGGTAGCTCTCCAGTAGACCGCACAATCCAGTTACTTACCTCCTCACCCAAAACCCATCCGACTCCACACCCAATCTCAATATTGAGGCCGCACGGAGTCGATCGATGCCATTCTTACAGGCCCTGAAACAGCCCAGACAGTGACGCAAGACTGCGGCCTACCGCGCAACATCAACGCTCAGCCTCGATGCCTTGCTCGGCGGACCGGGTGAGTCGTGAACACCCACAGAGAAAAACGTACCTAACACCCCCTCCGGCACACCAACAATGAGCCGACGCACAAAGAAAACGGCCACTACCACACCAGGATGGGACATAGGGAAGATGCTTAAGAGGCCAGCACAACTTGAGCCTGCACGGGCAGAGCAGCAGCTGGTCTCCATTTCCACCAGGGGCCTGGACTACAAGGGGCCAAGTACCTCAGAGACCACCCAAGCAGACCTAACCTTACCCCCCCACTCCCCTGACGACTCTAAGGATCCTACTTGCCGATATACACAAACTACTGGCAGCTGATGTCACTAAGATTAAAGGGGACATACAACAAGTGACAGACCGAGTCAAACATACAGAAAATACATAACTGGTGTTTTCATGACCATAACCACCCTCCAAGACTCAGTGATGCACCTTCAAGCTAAACAACAGTTGTTAGCCGCCCAAATGATGTCCCTAGAGGACAGACAGCGCAGGACACACATTAAAAGAGGACTGTAATGGTTATGGTGCTTGGGTTAGTTTTTTTGAATGATGGATAAATAAAGTTAACATTTATTAATTATTTATGCACATAACTGTAATATATGCTGCAGCACTGGACACATAGCACTAAAGCATTTAAAAGGAGTATCTCACAAATCAACATTGCCATCTTAAAATGATAAGTGTAACTCTCACATGGTTATTTACTAAAAAGAGAATCAAAGTGATTTCAGAGTAAATTCCAAATTAGGCCAAAGTAGCTGAATTAATTGCATACCTGAATAATCACTGTTAGTGAATAACCCCTGTCAGAAGTGAACCACTTGAAAAAAACTTTAATACTATGTTCAGTACCAGCGAGGCATAGTTAACACAGCTAGAATCAGGTATACCAACAGGGTAAAACAACCAAGGATTCTACATTCAGCAATGTTCAAAACGCCGCAGTGAAATCTCCAAATAGAAAGTGATGCAAAAGGAAAAATATTTCTCTATCTTCCAAAATTGATTTTCTATGTTTTTTCGTTTTTTTTTAGACTTGCGGCCCCTATCACTTTCCCAGCTTCAGGAACTGTTCTTATCAGCTTGTGGGTGCCCTGGGCAGCAAACCTTAACTTTACTGCTGCCGGGGATTTTTCAAGACATGCAGGCAGAGAGAAATATTAGAAGAAAAATAGTAATGTTACTGTCAAAGCAGTCTGTGTGTGTTGGCACACTGCAGCAGTCCATGGACACAAACCATCCTTAAAAACACATTGATGGAGAGTATTTACTAAGCCAGGCGAAGACTCAAGTTATGAAATCTACCTCTCAACTCAGGTAGACAGTTGACAAAAAACTACTACTAATATTAAAAACAAGAACAAACATTTCTGGAACAAATATGCACTACTTTGACAGCTTGTTACAGATAGTAGGAGTACCCTGGTGCCTTTCCCAGGTTTGCCTTCTTACTTGGTTTTG